TTCAATGTTTTCATTTATTTTTATCTTATGGATAATATCATTCATCAATTCTTTTGTCTTTAAATCATTCTTTTCAATAATATAAATGTATTTTATTAGTTTCTTTTCAAACACCAATATCAACTATGAACAAGTTCAAATAACCATTGTTTTTTCACATACATTGAAGACTAAACTTGGTTCATATCAAATTTTCATATTCCTCTATATTTATTTTTAATAAACAATATAATTGATGTTAGATTTCATTTTATATGATGAATGTCATTAACTTAACACTAACTCAACATGAACATTTATCTTGTTCAATGTGAATAAATAAAACAATACAGAAAAAGACAAAAAACACAAACACTGTGTCATTGATATAACTTATTAAATGTTAATTACAAACAATATAACCAAACCAACAAGTCACAACCAAGTAGTTTTATTTCATTAAACTGAAGAAAATAATGTATTTTAAGAAATTAAAGACTTTCTTGAATATAACTCAATTAGTCTGAATAAAATATTTGTTTAGTATAACAAAAAAAAACACAAACGAGTTTAATTTGAATTAAAAACAATTCATTAATCAACTCAATACTAAAACAATCATAAATGATAAGAAGAATATTACATTAATGCATCAACAGATGAATTAAGTAACTTAATCATCATCTGTTTTCTTTTTTCAATAAGATGTCTTTGAGAAGGATCTTGACATTTTCCCATTTTTTTAAGTAAAAACAAATGAATACTTTTTCTAATTTTCAATGAATCAACGTCTTTTAAAGTGATAAGTTTTGTAAAGACATTTGTAACATTTTCCATTGACTCATCTCCTAAAACTCTTTGTAAAACAGTTCTTGCAAAGACAATTTCCATAGTAGTTGGTGCAATTAAATTAATTCCTTTTAAAACTCTTAGTCCAAGAAAGTCTTTTGAAATCAATACACCAAGAAGTGTTGCCCAATTAATGACAGCTCTTGCACCATATTTTTCTAAGTCTTTCATTCTTTCATAAAATGCAATTTGAAAAGTAAATTTATTTGCTTTAGACTTTTGAATAATTTGTTCTGCAATAAGTTCAAAATATTTATTATAAGTTTTTGATTGTCCTAAACAATACATTAAAACAAATACAACTTCTCTTTCTTGTTCTCCATGGAGTCCAAGTTGAAGTATTCTTTGATATCCATCAACATAATCCATTGCACCCATTAATGCAATAAAAATTGCTTTTCTAAGTTCAGTGTTCATATGATGTTCTCTTGCTTTTGCAACTGTTTCACTTTCTCCTTGATTTGTTAATGCTGTAACAAACATTTCTGAATGTGCAGAACCAGCTTCCCACCATTTATTTGTTTTATCAGTTATATTTTGTAGTCCAACACTTAATTCAAATCCTTTAGTAACTCCATATTTTTTCCAAACAATTCCAATAATTTTTTTATATCTTTCAAGTACAACTTCATTCTTACCAACTAATTTATTATTCTTTAAATCATTTAAACTTTCAATTACAAATTTCTCTTTTACACTAAGTTCTTTCCCTTTTATTACTTCATTAACTTTTATTAACATTTCTCTTAAACATCTTGGATTTTCACTTCTTATTTTATTTCCTCCATTTTGAATTATTGCCATAACTATATCAAAGTTATTCTTTTCAATAGATTCCATTAATAATTCAACTAATAATTTCTCATCAATTACTTTCATATAATATAATCCACATAAAAATACTGCCACTGATCCTGTTGGTGGTTCTTGAAATAGTTGTTGAAGTAATTCTCCACAAATTCCAATTTCTACTGCACCAGATATTCCTGAAATAAATGCAGATAATAATAACACTTGTTCTGTTAAATCTGACATAACTTTTATTGTTTTTATACAACACGTAATAATAGCTTGTGTAACAAAAGCTTTTGGATATTGTTGATAATACCCACTCACTGTTCCAATAATTCCTTCTAATGTACCTTCAGAAATTCTATTCAACTGTCCACGTACAAATCTCAAAACTTCTTGTTCGCTCATAATGTGAAAGATATTTGATTATTCAAAGAACAACAAAATTTTATAAATAAACCCTAAAATAAAAAACAAAATTTTTTTTTAAGAAAAAAATAATTTAATATCCAAAAAATGTTATACGAAGATTTAAAATCAATACATTCCTTTGAATTTTTTATACTCAAAAGAAATTCATTTCTAACTACTTTTTCTCTTCTACCTTTTTAAAATAATACATCTTAATAAAAATGAACATCTTTGTTGAATAAAAGATATTTTTTGTTCTTGACTTAATTTCATAACTTGAGTTAAAACATAATTAATACAATCATTTTGAACATATCCTTCAAAATAACATAATCCACACCGTTCCATTTCTTTTAATAAACATACATCACAACTTCTTTCCCATCCATCTTTATACATTAATTCAAGTTCAAATGGTAATTCATATGACCCTTTCCTCACTTGATTTAATACATATTTTAATGCTGTATATGAATAAATTTGATTTCTAATATGTAATGGACATGTTTGAAATAATTCAGGATTCATTATATAATCTCTTACTATTTTCTTGACAACTTGTTTTGAGTATTGTGTAAATGCATCATCTGGCCAACATTCTACAAATGCTCCAAACATCATAAAATATTTTTCATAGACCTCAAATATATTTTGGTTAAATGAAATTGGTTGTCCTATTTGTGGTTGTTGAATTGTTCGATTTATTTGAATTGGTTCTTGTCTATAAAACATCTCTGGTTGTTGAACAACAGAAGGAAAAGAAGTATTAAATGTAGACATTCTTTTAGGTGCTGTTGGTTGAAGAGGTTGTTGTGGATAAACATTAAGAATTTCTTCTCTTTTATAATGATTAAGATTTTGATTTAAAGACATTCGTTGTTGTTCTCTAGAAATATCTCTAGGTATATCTCTTGTTGTTTCACATTCAATTGAAGATGATGTACGACAAGATTCTCTTTCTTTAATAATATCACGAACAATATGTTGGAAAGTTCTTTTCTGAGATGAATTAGATTTTTGTGTTGGACCTATTGTTTGTATAGGAAGTGGTGGTTGTAATAATCCAATTGTTTCTTTTTGATTTCTTTGTTTCGGAAAAGTTGTTGTAGAAGATAAGTCTTTTTGTAGACTTTTTCTTTCTTTTTCTGATTTTGATTTCCCAATTTTTATTTTATCATCTTTCTTAGGAAAAGCAACAGGTGGTTGAAGTAGTTCAATTGAAGATGAATAATCTGATTGTTCTTTAGTATTTTGTTGGTTAAAAATGTCTTTAATTCCATTTGTTTTAGGGTTGTCGTTTTTGTTTGTAAATGACTTTTCTTGATGATGAGATTGATTCTTTTTTTTTGTTTGGTCATTTATTTTTTTTTCTGGTTCATTTAATGTATTTGTAGTAGGTTGTATTGGTGGTGTTGTTAGATGGTCATTTCCTGTAAACGTTTGTTTCTCTTGGACTAGTTCCATAGTTTTTTCTTTTTTATTAATTTTTAGTGTTTCTTCAGAACAATGGCTTTTACTAGGTGTTGAATTCTCAACAGAGGTAAATTCATTGTTTGTTTCTTCATCAGTCAAAGTGTATGAATCATCCTTTTCCTGGTCACTCATCTTTCTATTTTTATAGATTTTTTGTTTTAGTTTTGTTCTTTTCTTCAACATTATTTATAGATATAAAGAATATTCCAAGTTATTTTTAGATAGTATTATCTTTAAAGGATTTTTTCTATTAATAACCCAGATAATTTTAGAAAAGGAGTTGTTGATTAAGATTAAGAAGTTAAAAAAAATAGAAAGGTCAGAAGATAATACTTCAATAAAAGATATAAACTAATAGACTTAATAATTAATTCAATTCCATTTGATTATTGTCTTCTTCCCAATACTTTTCAATTTCTGCAATAAGTTCTTGATTTTCTACACTTAAAATACAGTCTTCTTTCATACCATCTAATAACCCAACACAATTACTTTCTTCTAACATTGTTTGATAACAGTTAAATCCATGAAAATGACTTTCTTTTTCTCCAACCTCAAGGATTTTTATGATTATTTTCAAAGTATAATATAAAATATCATATGTTCCACTATATGAAATAGAAAGTATTCTATAAAATGAATCAAATACATCAATATTTAATATTTTATTCATAACATCTTCATCAATAACAGCAAGAACATTAATTAATACCCATCCAGCTTCAATAACAATATCATGATTTGGTGATGTATTTATTTCAACAAGAATATTTTTAAATAATTTACTATTTACAATGAGTAAACCAACATTTCCTTGTTTACATGCAACAATATTTGCTAAACAATACATGAGAATTGGAGTAATTTTATCAGTTATATAATCTGAAATAGTTATTATTTCATTTATAAATCCATTATTTACTAATTCTTGTGCAAATGTATTATCATTTAAAATCAAAGTTCCAATACATTGTAATACTACTATCATTAATTCTTCATTTCCACTTTTAATTCCTTTAATAAAAAGTGGTAAAAGTGGTTGTTTTAATTCTTGACAATAAGTTGATTCTTCACATAAATAATCCAAACCAAGTAATGCTTGTGATACAATTGTTGAATCATTCAATGTTGCTGCATGGATAAGATATTCAATAAAATGAATAACTATAGGATATGATGGTTTTGGTGTAAATGAACATAAATTAGAGACTAGTCTTGTACATTCAACAAACATTGCTTGTTCTGTATTATCTCTAATAAGACATAATAATACATTAATTATTCTATTCATTACTTCATCTCTTAATTTTACATTTTCTGATGCTAAATTCGCAAATACCCAACAAATATCTCTTTTAAATTGATTTGTTAACATAAATGGAAGAAGTTGTTCAATAACTCCAAGTTGAATCATTTTTATTATTTGTTGAGTATTTCCTGAACTTACATTAACTAATATATAAAGTATATTCATTTTAACTTCATTATCAATAGCTTTTTGAAATATTTGTAACATACGAGGAATAGTTATTGTCATAAGTATCATATCAAATAATCTTGTTTCAAATTCATTTGAAACTTCTGGTGCTTTTTTAACAATTTCTTTTAACATTTTAATACTTTGAATTATAATTTCATAATTATCACTTTGAATTCCATTAAAAAGTAATTGTATTTGTTTATCATTTACGTTAAAATATGTTTCTTCTGATTTTTGTTTTATTTTCTTTATTTCTTCTTCTTCTTCTTCTT